TCTCTCTCTCTCTCTCTCTCTCTCTCTCTCTCTCTCTCTCTCTCTCTCTCTCTCTCTCTCTCTCTCTCTCTCTCAATGGCTACAGTGATTGTAAACACGGCGCAGACCGCACTGCCTACCTTTCTCTCGTCCTCTTTTTTATTGTGCTTGTTTTTGCCACTCTTCTCTGTTTTTGTTGTGATTGCTGTTTGTACAATAATGATGGACTTCGTGGTGATGGCCATTGTGGATGTCATTTTTGCCTTTCGCGTTTAATGGTAGTTATTCAACTTATTGAACTGCAGGGCATCACTTGTGACCTGCGAGGCTAAGGTCTTACCCAAAATCGTACAGTAGGTATGGCTGCATCTAGACGGAAAGTTGCCCCAAATACAGCTGACCGTGAGGTCGAATAGTTTTTATCAGATTTTCAGACGCTCTAATCCTTTGCCGAACACGGCGGCCGTTCGATCGTGCTACCGAGCCAGGCAATGTGTTTTTCCCTTCCATTTCCCCCCCCTTCAAATCAGCAGCGCACAACGCAGGCAATACTCACGGCCATTATAGCCGTATTAGCGGCAACTTTCTAGATGCCCGTCCTCAGATGAGCAGCGCAGCGTCCTGACCGATTGGGCTTCCCGGCGTTGCGGCAGTACTGTTCCTTGACTTAGCAACATGCTGGACTTACCTAAAATGGATTATCAGATCTGTTAGGAACCGGCTATCATGGCAACCAGTTGTTGCTGGACTTACCTAACATGGATAATCACATCTCTTAGGAAAACGATCATCATCACAACCAGATGTCGATGGACTTGCCTAAAATGGATAATCAGATCTGTTAGGAACCGATCATCATTGCAACCAGTTGTTGCTGGACTTACCTGAAATGGATAATCAGATCTGTCAGGAACCGATCATCATGGCAACCAGTTGTTGCTGGACTTACCTAAAATGGATAATCAGATCCGTTAGGAACCGATCACCATGGCAACCAGTCCGGTAAGAAGCAAAGGGCGGACCTTCTTTTTTGTTCTTTTGTTCTTTCACACACACACACACACACACACACACACACACACACACACACACACACACACACACACACAAACACAGTCCTTTCCACTCGCACGAACCATAATCATCCTCATCCTCGTCGTTGTTGTGATCATCACCACCATGGACAGCATCATCATCGGCGTCGTCATCATGATCCCCATCATCATCGTCATCAATTCGCACCGTCATCATAGGCAACTTGTCATCGAGATCATCGGCGGCTTTCCCATCGTCATTATCACTTGGACGGATGGAATGCAAATTCGTTGCTGTCTTCTTCCTTCCGCTGAAGATAGATCAATGACGGTGATGATGATAGCCACGACTGTGATACAGACAACGCCTTTGTGGAACAAAACTTAGGCAATGACTAGTAAATTCAGGCAGAGTAGGGGTGTGACGACTATGGCTATGACAGTGCAAGGGCGAAGAGGATGATCCGTGAAGCAGGGGAGGAAGATGGTGATGGTGAAGGTGATGCTGATGCTGATGCTGATGCTGATGCTGATGCTGGTGATGATGCTGATGGTGATGATGATGATGACGATGATTCTGCAAGGGGTAGGACGAGGAGAAGAAACAGGAGGGCAACGACACGAGGAGTTGGAAACGCAGGATCATAGATAGTGGCCTTGCAAAGTTGACCTCGCTGCACGATACCAGCTATGGCAGCGCCAGGCATGCTGTTTTGTCCAGGAAAAAAAAAAAAAAACAAGGATCATAGAGCGGTAATCTGCGATCGCATGCTTCCGTGATGTAAGAGAAAGGACACCGCGTGGGCAGAGATACAGACCGGCATCCAGCAGCAGATCGACGACTTCTTGTTGGTGTGCCTCAACGGCGTAGTCCCCAGCGCACCGGCCCGTCTGGTCAAGAGCGTTCCATGGGGCACCTGCTTCCAGCAGTGCGCGAACTACTTCCACGTGTCCCTTGGAAGCAGCCAGCATAAGCGCACTTGTTCCGTTCCCTTCGTCCTGACACGAAACATCGAATCCCTCCTCAATGAGTCGCTGGGCTTCCGACAGCTGGCCAGCTTCGGCCACTCGCAGAAGCTCACTCCCGCTCCTCTCCGTTGCCCGTGGCTCCATATCCACAGCTATAGCTACCGTCGCTGCAGCGCAAGCGAACTCTTCGGCTCGTGCTCCACCGTTGTACTTCCGAGACTCTCCCCACTTTTTTTTTTCCGCGGAAGATTGCATTGTATTCATATAAGAGAGAGCGTCTCGTTTCACACACCACTTGAAAATTGTGGATTTTCACCGTTCCACCCCTCCCTAAGGACATCGAAATCGATCCCCGAAATGTTTGCTGATTTCAAGGGTCCGCGCTTGGAAACGAACTCCAGGGTGTCGGGCCACATGCTCCGTGTAGTTTAGGGGTGGACCCCACTGAACGGTGGCTGGAAAATCAGCGAGGCCATAAAAAATGGTCCACCGTGGTTAGAACGTATTTGGCAGCTTTTGTTCGTACCCCACCACGACCCCAAACTTTGGCATTTTGGCATTGGAAAGGGCCGCACTTACCCGAATACGGAAACTTGGAAGGTCGGATCCGAAAAAGGAAAGTTCGGTAGGGGCAGGGCTCCATGGCCTTCCGTTTGCGTGCACCAGGTGTCCGTGTGCTGCTGTGTGAGAGGCGGTGTGACATGTGTCGAACACGTGCCATGCGGTACACAGGCTGCTTATTGCTCCCTCCGCCGCGGCGGATTGCGTACGGGCAATGAAATGACCGTTGGGGTCATGGATTGGGTTTCCCATCCTGCCGTTGGCACTGGGGTCCACAGGGACGTGCGCAACGACAGTAGGGGCGAGATGGGATGATGACGAGCCACATGTGAAGAAGGAAGACGAAGGTCAGGGAGAGGCGTTTGTGGGTGTGCAAAGTTGCTCGGACACCGACGTGTCTACGTTGGGAACAGCTTCCTTGTATTGTGCCATCGAAACCATGAATCCTTCTTCGGTGGCCGGTTCGGAAGAGGAGTGGGAAGACATGGTCTTCATGTTCGTCCTCATCATGATGCACTGGGTCCACAGGCGTAATGCAGCGGTCATGGCCGTCCTTGAAGTTGTCGCCATCACCCCGTTTTTTTTCCACGACACGTCGGGGGCCATGACGATGCTTGCTGGTGGACTGTTTCACGGCATGGCTCTGAGCTGTTTGGTGGCAGAGGAGTTGGGGAGGCGCATGACACAAGGACGACGATTGTGGGTGGTGGAGCGCAGTGGAGGTCTTTGGAAGGACTTGCAACGACAGGGAGCAAAGCACGAGAAGGTGTTCTTATGCTTCTGCAGACTCCCACGACCATTGTTCTTCGAAGTTCTCCAACGAATCAGGCCGCATATCTAGCATTCGCCGATGAATTTTCAGTTGCCTATTCCTGTCGGTCAGAAGTTCGCCTGTACATTGATCAGGTGGGCGACAGGCGGCTACTATAGGCAATCCGACCACAATTTGGGTATAGGCCTCGCCAGTGCGTTGCAAAGCAATGAAGAGTTGGCTGATGCTATCATCCACGAGTACAACCATCTCTTGTAGTTTCCGATAGGACGTCGTCTTGAAGACGTGCAAAACGCTTTCGAGGCGAAAGGGTTTGCAGGGTCCGTGGGGGCAATCGACTGACGCACATCTACATCGACAAACCGAAGGGAACCTGTTCCGAGTGCTACTAGCATCACACTGGAGACTTTTTTGTGGTCGCGCAAGTCGTATGCAATCATGAGTGTAGGATAGTCAGTGTGTTTGTCGGTTGTCACGGGTCCATGCATGACTCACTTGCTTTGCAGATGTTGCCCTTGTACCTCAACACCAGGAATGAGAGAGGTGTGCTCAGCGAGGGATGAGTTGTTCTCCGTGATGACACGCATGTGGAGAGCTATCTATTGGGAGATGCAGGGTACCCCCTTCTGCTATGGATCATGACACCCACAGGCAGATTTGAAAGAACGTCTGCGGACCGTACATACGAGGAGTGCCACAGAATGACCAGGTCTTATCTAGAGAGCACTTTTGGGTGTCTGAAGGCATCTGAAGAACGTGTGGCGGAATTTCATACCCACACACATTGCTAACTTGGAAACCCTGCGCAAGGAATTCATGGCCGTGTGCATTCTGCACAACCTCATGATGCAACATAGGGTGGAGATCGCCATATGGGAGAATGCAGCGATAGCAATGGTCGGGGTCCACCTCCCAACGGTCGTCGCTGGCGCGGCCTCCGTCGACGAGTGCATCGTAGGATACCCGACCTCAACGTCGAAGTTCCGACTGAAGATGACCCCACATACGACACAAATCTAGGAAAGTGGGTCAGGGCGTGCTTGATAGCGCATGTGGAGCACCACTTTGTCGTTCACGGTGCGCAAGCGCCATGTCCGTGGCGATAAACAATGTGTGTGTGTGTGTGCGTGTGGGTGTGTGGGTGTGTGCGTGTGTGTGTGTATGTATGCGCGCACGCGTGTGTGTGTATGTGTGTGTGTGTGTGTGTGTGTGTGTGTGTGTGTGTGTGTGTGTGTGTGTGTGTGTGTGT